GCCCTACCCTATGACCTTATTTAATTATTTAACCTTAATTACCTACCTAAGGCCTTATCTCCAAAATACATTTACATTGGGGATTAGGACTTCAGTATAGGATTTTGGGGGGCACACAGTTCAGTTCATAACACCATGTTTATCCCTGCACAGTAGGTACTGTGAGGCTAGGAGAGGGCTCCCCTCCCCCCCCCCCACTGCTGAGTGATTGTGGGGCATTTGCGTTTCTTCTTTATAATTTGTTTTTAAAGAATTGGGAGGTGCTGAATAATCAATCAGCCAACAAAACAAGCATTGGAAGCAGCAGGGGCAGGAAGAACTTGGCCATGATGTGTGTAAGGGCGTGGGCTGTGGCACCTGCCCGACGGGCACGTGTGTGACTCAGTGCTTGTTCCCAGCCCTCACCATTCCCCCAGTTCTTCATTTGAAACAACTCCCCCCGACACTCAACCCCAAAAAAAGGCAGGTGCTGTCACAGCTGTCATTTAACACCCAGAGAGTTTGAGTCACTGACCCAAGGAGGCAGCTCTAGCAAAGCCAAAAGCGAGAAGGCGCTCAGCCCAGGTGAGTTAGCTCAGTGGTCCTCACCTGGGGGTGATTGTGCCCCCAGCGAACATTTGTCAATGTCTGGACACATTCTTGGTCGTGGTAATGGTGGTGGTGGTGGGGGTGTGCTGCTGGCATCTCGTGGGTCGAGACCAGGGGTGCTGCTAAACATCCTACAGTGCACAGGACAGCCCCCCAATGAAGAATTATTTAGCCCAAGTGTCAGTAGTGCTGAGGGCGAGAAACCCCGATTTACCTCCTAATCCTTGGGGCTTGGCCACCCACATATTTATTATTCCAAGATGGCCACAGCAAGCCCCAGGCCCTGCCCACAGAAAGTAGGGAAGAGAAGACAAGTGACTGAATGCCTGTGTCCGAGGCAGGCTGTAGGTCCTCAAGACAGGGTTGAGAAAAGTTTCCGGTGGGTGGAAGGAGGTAGAGATGGTGTTATTGGCCTTCCTTTGGGGAGGGAGGGACAGGTAGGAAAGGGTGCCCCATGGTGGTTCTCGAAGCGGCCACTAGATGGTGCCGCTGTCCCAGGGACTCTCCTCACACTGCTGGATGACTGTGAGTTGACTCACTCTCCCTAAGTGATATCCCGTGTTATCAGCTTTCGTTATGCTGGATAGGAATTATGTGTGGTTTCTGAAAACTCCAAGAGGGGAAGACCCAGCTCAGTGGTGCAGGCCCTGGACTCAGACTCAGCCAGGCCCCAGGCTGGTTAGGCACATTTTCCCAGCTTGTCCTCTGGGAAGCGAGTGCTCCAAGCTGCAGTTTCTCTTTCTGTGAAATAGGTGATAATCCTAGTACCTGGGGATGGAGTGGTTTCCCGATTAAGCGTGACAGTGTGTGTGCAGAGCGTAGTATGGGGGTCTGGCAGATAGAAGTGCCCGGAAGAGCTGGTTTTATCATTAAACCCCAGTGTCCCCCCAAATGTGTGTCCTCTGAGAGCCCTTTCTAAGCCCAGCTTGCCACAGGGCTACTGGATTAAAGATGACGGTTGGGACAATTAAAAATTCTGGGTTTTCTGGACCACATGGCTTTTCTTGTAGCAGGTCTAAAAAGGGTGGGTGCCTGCTGCAATAATGCCGCTGCCTTTACGGGCAATTTACCAGAGTGCTTTTAGAAGCCCCGTTAAAGTGGCAGAAATCACTGCCTTTTTACAGAACTTGGATTTATGGGGGTGGGGAAGTGGGGTGAGGGGGTGAGAAGGATAGATGGCTTTTGCCTTTATTTTTATAATTATTGAAAGGAAATGTCCTCATTATAAAACAACAACCAAACACAAACAAACAAAAAAACAAACATTACAAAAAAATAGAAAGCAAAAGTTCTGTAGACTCTCACCCTAACAGTTGAGTGTGCACATACCATTTTGCTGTTTGCTTTATTTTTCCCCAGCCTACCAGTGTATCTTAGCTCTGATTGTCCATTCACATATCCTTACCTAATTTGGCTCAAGAGCTGCATTTTGCTGGGCCGTAACGTATTTAACTTGACCACGGGCATTTAGGTGGTTTCCGGATTCTCACTATTACGAGGAGCCATTTCACGAGTGCACCTGTTGCCTGTGACATAAGTGACAGAAGGCCTGAGAGACTGAGATTACTTATAGACGCCTGGGTTTATTATAAAAGGATACCACAGAAAGTCGGCCACACGGTGAGCGGGTAGGAGAAAAATCCCAGCCAAATAATAGAGGCACCTCCGCTGTCCCCATGCTGGCCCCACCACCCACAGAGTCATCTTGTGGAAAAGTCCCCGTTGGGCAATGATTGGAGCATGTGGCTTTTCCAGCTAAAGAATGCAGCTGAGAGGCTCATGGTCACACCTCTGAAGCTGCCAGCATTGGCGTCTGTGCCTCTGGTGACCCGGAAGCCACTAGCCAGTCACAACAGGGCTCAACATGACATCTCAACAGTTCTTTCTGCCAGCGCACTCAACCCCAACCACAGACAGAATGACAGGATGAAAAGGAAGAGCTCTAGGCATCAGTATCACCTAGGCTGCTTGTGGCAAGTTCAGGTTCTAGCTGGGTGGATTGTGGACTGTTCAAAGCATGGGATACTATCTAGCACAAAGGAAAAAAAGGAATGAACTGCTGCCACTGCAAATAACTCTCAGATGTGGTGAGTGAAAGAGGCCAGACAAGGAGCGTGCGTACTGTGTGACTCCATGTGTATGAAGTTCAAGAACAGGCAAAACCAGTTCACAGTGATGAAGAAAAAGTGATGAAAGTCAAACTGGGGGTTGCCTTTGGAGAGCGAGTAATGCCTGGGCAGGGGCCTGAGGAGCCTCTGGGAGCAGGAAACGTGCTGGTCTGATCCGGGTGGTGCTTACGGTGTCTGTATTTGTAAACATTCATCAAGCTGGACACCTAGGATTCGGGAGGTGTGTATGTGTATGTGAGTACATAGGTACATGGACTTACCATTCATCTATATGGACATTTCCACACACATCAGGCTGTACCCTCAAGATCTGTGATTCGTGTAGCTTCATTTTTAAACACAGTAAGATTCTTAGGCCCTCACCCCAGCCCCGCTGCCGCCTCTCTCAGAGCAGCCTCCAGGGTCTGCCTCAGGAATTGTTCTCATCAGGAATTGTTCTCATCATTTTAAGATATTCCACGGACTGTCTGCAAAGCCAGGATCCCCAGTGTGCTTTTCTGGAGAGCTAAATCTGAGGAGGACCCGGCTGCATCCAGCCCATGCATGCTGTGGCCTCGCATGGCCCTGGGCTCCCGGATGGCTCTAGGTGTTGTGTTTGGTGATTCCAGACAGTCTTTGGCCGAAATTAGGTACCTCTTTGGTGCCATATAACTTAATGGTTTCTTTCTGATTCACCTGAGAGCAGTCCTGGGAAATATGGTGGTGGAGATGATGACTCTCCAAATGATAATAGGAAGAGTAATGGCAGTAATGTTATGAGTGCTGACTTTGTGTCCCCTCAGTGTTCTTACTGCTTTTCTTGCATTATCTTCTTTAATCCTCACAACAGCCCCCTAAGGAAGGTACTGCTATTTTAGTTTTCAGACAAGGATACTGGGCAGTGGGGAGGATAAGCGGCTTGCCTAAGGTCACCCAGCCAGGACATGGCAGAGGCAGTGTGGATCCAAGTCCACGTTTGAAACCAGTGGTGCATCCCACACCCGTGATGATAGGAAGCCCCGTATGGTTTTTTAACGCAGAGTGCAGGGACCACCTGAGATCTGACTGGAGGTTAGGGCTGGGTCCCAAGATTCAGCGTGTCTGCCAAGCTCCAGGTGATGCTTTGCTGCCAGTCTGAGGCCCAGACTTTGAGTAGCGAAGCCTGAATTGCTCCGCTCTACTGCCGCGCGCGTCTGCCTGTAGGTGCATCATGTTCTGCCTTCACCCGGTTGCTGGGAGGCAGGTGGGATGGTGCAGAGCTCCCAGGCCGGCAGCCCAGGGCACAAACAGTGGGGACGGCAGAGCCTGCTTTGCAGGGTGGCTGGTGAGGACTCAGAGGATAACAGGTCCAACGAGGGCCCAGTGCCAAGAACTGCAGGGCTGCAGCTGGTCTATATACCTGAGTTGCTGGCCAGCATAGCTTTAAAAACTAGCTGATATAGTGGCCAACCTTTCAAAGTCAGGTGACTGCAGCATTAAAATCTGATTCCCAGCTTCCCTTGCACAGTCAGAAGCTATCACCAGTCTGGGCCTACATTTCTGCAAGGGGCCGGGGCTGGGAGCTTGGAGGGGATGGCCCCAGTGCCCCAAGAACCCTCATCACCCAGTTTTCATTGTTGGCCCCCAGGAACACGGGCTTCGACATCAGACCTGAGTTTGAATCCCATCTCTGCGACTGACTGTCTCTGTGTTCTCGGGCAAATTAATCACCCTCTCTGAGCTTGTTTTACTCTTCTGCAAAATGGGAAGAAGGAGACTTATGCTCCAGAATCATGATGACAATTATAATGTACAGCACTCAGTCCAGTGCTGCAACATGAAGTGGCTTGCATGAAATCATGTTGCTATACAGGGAGGGAACACCATGTGAGGCCCCTTGTGGCGTTCAGAGATGACGGGGTGACCTTTGATTGCAAAATGGGGCAGCTTTTTATATTAATGAAATACAGTGCTTTTTACCTTCATCCGTGGGTGGTTTGTGAAATGCCCACGCACCAACTCATTTGCCCCACGCCCAGCTCTGTGTGGGACTGGTGGCAGCGAAAGAAAATGTTCAAGTGTTCCTTTCTGTTTGGTGTGGGAGGGAGGGGTAACCCAGGCCTCTCTCTGGCATTGCATTTGAACTTTCTAGTGACTGCACGTTGTGACTGATTTCTTTGCTGGTTAAAGGTTAGGTTGGCTTCTGTTGGCTTGTGTAACCCCACCCACCCAGAAGCTTGTCTGGTTCGGGCACATTTGCATGGTCCTCTGCTTGCTAGCTGACTTTCTCTGCTCGTCTTTCCTCTAGCACGAATTAACCTGTTTTCCTGTTTTGTTTTGTTTTTCTCCCTCTAGATTATTTGCTCTCTAATAACTATGTAAATTCTATCATCGTCCATAAGTTTGACTTTTCCGATGAGGAGATTATGGCATATTATATATCGTTCCTGAAAACACTTTCGTTAAAACTCAACAACCACACTGTCCATTTTTTTTACAACGAGGTGAGTAACTGCCAAAGGGGTGTAGCTGGGTAGAAAGCTAGCCGGTCCGAACTGCATCTTCCTGGGGCCTTCTGTCTGTTTACGAAGCACTTATGCACTCACTATTTCCTGATTTTCATAGCAACACTGGCCTTGGCACGCTTAAAATTTTTTTGAATGTAATAAGTTACCTCTCCAGTTTGCATGTAAAATTCAATTTGTGCGACCTGAGAGCATTATACTTGGCAGGGAGAAGTGCTTGGAAATTGACTTGGGGTCGTGTTGCTCTGTGGGAAAAACAGGAACTCCAGTCAGACTCAGCTTTGCCACTTCCCTGCTGTGTGACTTTAGAGAAGTCCCAGTCCTCTGAGCCTCAGTTTCCTCCTCTGAGAAATGGGGAGGATAATATATACCTTACAGGATTTTCCAGGGATTTGAGTTAAACACCTAGGTTGTGCCTGGCTCCCTAAAATCGTAGCCACTGCTATTCTTTACAAGTTAACATCCCTGGTATTCCTTGAGAGAATTACTAGAAATTTAGATAAGTACATTGCTGTCATTTTCACAATTAAAAGTAACTTGAACAATAAGGTCTATTTGTCTCATGTACCGAAGATGCCAGCTGCCCTGGGGCTGGTTCATCTTGTGGCTCAACCACTTCATCAAGGACCCAGCCTTTTTCATCCTGAGGCTCAACGCCTCATGGTCTCAGAATGGCTGCAGCAGCTCCAAACATCACATGCTCACATTCCACTGCTAAAAGGGCTGATGAGATCACTTCCCTTTTTGTGTCCCTTTTTAACTTCCAAAAAAAACTTCTTTCCCAGAAGCCTCCCAGCAGACCTCTTATGTGTCAGTGGTCATAATTGTGTCGTATTTATCACACAGTGTTTCTGGAATTTGTGAGTGGCCTGGCAGGGTATCTCTGGTTTGGTACCCTGTGGGGCAGCCCTCATCTGAAGGCTGGATTGGGGTTGAAGGACCTGCTTCCAGAGTGGCTCGCTCATATGGCTGGCCAGTTGGTACAGGCTGTTGTGGGGAAGCCTCGGTTATGTGGGCTTTTCCAGAGGCTGCCTGAGGGTCCTCATGGCATGATGGCTGGCTTCCCCCAGAATGACTAATCCAGGAGTCCAAAGCATGATGACCCAGCATCAGCAGCCACACACTGTTACCTCTACCATATTTATTCTTTAGGCCACAGGGGCCGGCTCTGACTCATTGTGGGAGAGGATGACACAAGTGTGTGAGCCGAGGAGGTCGGGGTCATTGGGCCACCCTGGAGGGCAGCTATCACACAGCCACGTGGCAGGTGTCTTCTGATTGGTGGTTATGTATGCTGTCCAGCCTGGATTTGAAGTTAGGCTGTAGTCCCAAACATGCCCTCTGAGTTTGGGCAGAATCCATCTGACTGTTCCCATATGATGCAGCAACAGCAGCCTGAATCTTAATTTCCTTTGTCAAGATGAGTAGTGGGGAAGAGCTGGCCTCAAAGGGAAGATATACTAGCTGCCAGCCACAAAATGTGTGGCAGTTTGAAAAATTAACATTGTGTGGCCTCACACTCGGCACATAGTAGGTGCTCAATAAACGCATCCAGAGACCAGATGGATGGCATTAGCATTCTCCGGGCTCTCCCAGGTGGAAGAAAATCCCCTGCGACGTTCAGGCCAGAGGGGGCCAGGTTCTCCTTCCACTCAGGTGCATCCGGGCTGTGTGCACCCACCTGGGGGGGCAGGCTTCTGGGATTCTGGAGCCTGAGGGGTGCTCCTGGAAGAACACCCTGCTAGTCGCCAGGGGAGTGGGCTTGGTGTCCTCTTTTCTGTGGGCCAGTACAGCAGCTACCACTCGGTACAGGTACTCTGGACTTCTAGTGCTCAAAGTCGTTTTGCCCTTACTAGACGGTTGGCACTTCGCTGGAGGTGGCCTCTTCCCCATGCCCTTACTGCTTGTGGGTGCCCTCCCATGGGCTCCAGAGCCATGTGGAAAAACTGGCCAGAAGAGGGCAGCAGAGCAGGTCACTGCGAGGCCCCGGGCCCGGACCCTGTGGTGCTCTTTTCCCTAAGGCTCCAACAGTGGAGTTCTGCGGTTCTGAACTGTTTTGGTCTGTTCTGATGGTCTTTTTCATGTCAGAAGATTCCCAAGACCTTCCTCCTCCATGAACATGTTACAGTTTTAGTATTTCCAAATAGAGAAATCTATAATAGCCAAGAGAGATTCTGAATATGGTAAAACTTGACACTTGCCTTTTTAAGCAGCGTCTAATAATAACAACTAGCATTTCCACTGGGCGCCTATTCGGTTATCAGGCGCTGGGGTCAGCACTGTGTGGGACATAATCTCATTTAGTCCTAGCAGTTATGAAGTGGGAATTATCATCCCCGTTTTCTAGATGAAGAAACAGGGGCTTAGAAATACCACATCACACAGGCAAGAAGTGGCAGAACAGACCGTGAGCCCTGGTCTGGACCCTCTTCTGTTTCTTCCGTGGTCTCGCCTCTTCATCCCTTCCCACAGCCCCCATTGCGAGTGTTCACGCTGGTAACAGGTTTTGGCCTTTTCCTGAAGTCCCTGCTAGAGCTCAGAAAGCTGGGCTGGGAGGCAGACCCGTCCCCCGGGATTGTGACTCCTTGTGGCCCTTCTTTCTTTCAGCACACCAATGACTTTGCCCTGTACACAGAAGCCATCAAGTTTTTCAATCACCCCGAAAGCATGGTTAGAATTGCCGTAAGAACCATCACTCTGAATGTCTACAAAGGTAGGTTTTCCTTGTGATGTCTACCTTGGCAGCCAGGGCTCGCTCTCAGGTGTCTGTGCATACAGGTCTCTGGGAGCCCTTTTATTATAGCTGTGGTTGCTTGGCTCACCAAAGGCCTGTGGTCACTGAACATTGAGCTGGGCCTTCCCAGACATCCAGACATTCTGTCCCACTGCCTTTTCCCGGCACACTCAGCCCTGCTTGCTGAAACCTTAGGGCTGATACGCAGAAGCAGTAGTGTCCTACGAGAGGCACACATGGGACTCGGAGCAGCCGTGTGATGATTAGATAAAGCGAGTTGTTTTTTAAAGGTTAGATTTAAATTTTTGTGTTTTGGCCTGTAAAAACAGACTTCCAGGGGGTATGGTATCTTTAAATAATATACAAAAGCATCCTCCCCCACCCCCCAGTCATGAACAGCAGGGGGCAGTATTGTATTCTCAACCAGCGGCCAAGCCCGACAAATTCCTCCTTTCTTTCGAGATGTACTTTATGCCCAAATCATTGCCTCCAGGAGAAAGCCTTCCAAAGCTCCCTGCCCGCCCCAGCACAAAGGCTGGCTGCTCACAAGTTTCCTGACCTGGAATTGCCCTCCAAGGCGATGCCTTCTCTGCCGTAAGCCAGGGTTATTTTCCCTGTAATCACTACACTGGAGCTGGGACTACCAGTATTTTCTCAAGGACCAAAGGACTTTGACCTTCAGGAGTTACTATGTTGTTACTTGAGATGACCTCTGATTGGGAGGGGGTGGGAGCTCCCCAGGGACGCCCTGCTGCCTACCTAGTTCAGGGATTCTGTTTAATTGAAGAGCCTTTCTAAGAGCCCAGTGGGGTCCATCCACAGGTCGCAAACTAAGGGCCTGAGAGCGGAATCCAGCCCTCAGACAGGTTTTAATTGGCTTCGATATTTTATGAAAACTATGTAGTTGCCAGTATTTAAAAACTGGGAGATTATGGGTAACAATCTGGATTTCTGACTTGAGAATGGAGTTTCGGCTCTTCCAAGCCCACTGCCAGTGGTGAGCTGCTGCTGAGAAGCTGAGAAGCAGCTGCCCCCTGAGGGGTCGCGCTCCCACACCCCCACCTGAAGCTTCCCTCGCTGAGGCACTGGCCCGGCGCACTGCAGGCTTCTGAGTTTGCGACCTGGTCCAGGCTGCAGTTCTGCCGCCTCCTGTTCTGTTTACGCTTGTTCTCTTTTAACCTGTGTCTTTCGGTTTAGATGCCTCCTGCCCTAGCTCTGTCCCTCTGAGCAGCTGTCTCACCATCCCAGTTCCTAACCCTGTTAACCGTTGTCTGTTTTTTGCCTTTCCTTCAATGACGATTCCCGTGTTCCTTATTCCAGTGTCATGTAAGTTATTAACCTCTGGTTTTCTGCCTTCTTAGCCTATACTTACATGTAAACACAGGGAACTTGCTGGAGAATGGTGTAGCTTTCATTGCAGTCTAGCTAAACACACTGCTGAGCAGTAGTAATGCACTATTCATGTTTAGCCCAGTTAATTAATTTTATTAATGGTAAAAATAGCATAAGAACTGCCTTGATGAATGTGGTTTTATGAATAAGATAACGATTTCCAAGTATTTCCAGGAAAGACAGAAAAGATTCAGATTACAGTAGAGGGCTTTTTCATTGTGGTTTTTTAAAAATTGTGATCTCCCCCAAGTTATTTTTGGTAGCTTGACTTTTTTCTCTCTTCTCTTGTGAATTTTCTCAGTGGATAACCAGGCCATGCTACACTATATCAGAGATAAAACCGCTGTCCCTTACTTCTCCAATTTGGTCTGGTTCATCGGCAGCCACGTGATCGAACTTGACAACTGTGTGCAGACTGATGAGGAGTAAGTGACCTCCCGGGGTGCTTGTTAGGTAGACAGAGTGGCTAGGGGAGCATTTCCTTTTCATGGAGGGAAAATAAACATTAGAACAAAACTTACCCGCCTATGTGTAGGCAGACTATGGACTTCAAGCTCTGAAAGGTCCCACCCACCTGTCTACTTTTTATAACAATGGAAAGTTGGAAACAACTCATATGCCTCCCAGAGGGGGTTAGGGTAAGTAAATTCAGTGCACCCACAGATAGGGTGCTAGGAGCTGGTAATAGATTAAGATGACTCCTCAGCTGGTGAATGTATAAACAAAATGTGGTATTCGCATACAGTGGAGTAGTGTCCGGCAACAAAATGTGGTATTCGCATACAGTGGAGTAGTGTCCGGCAGCAAAAAGGAACAAAGCCCTGAAACATGCTACACCGCGGATGAACCTGGAAAGCATTATGCTCAGTGAAAGAAGCCAGACAAAGGACCACATAATATATTGGGTTGTCAGCAAAGTCATGATGCATTTTTGCAACGAAAAACATAGAAACAACATCTCATGACTTTTCCAACAACCTAATATGATGACTTTTATGTGAAATGCCCAGAATAGGCAAATCCAGAGATTTGTAGATCAGGGGTTTCCTAGGGCTGGAGGAGGGGGTTTGTGTGTGTGTGTGTGGGGGAGATGGGAAGTGACTGCCTATGAGTATAGGTCTTTTTTGGGGGGCAAAGGGATAAAAATTTTCTGAAATTGATTGTGATGATGGTTGGACAACTCTGTGAATATACTAAAACCATTAAATTGTATACTTTAAGTAGGTGAATTTTATGGTATGTGAATTATATTTCAGTAAATGTGTTTTAAGAAAAAATTAAGACGGCAATTTGGACCTCAGAATGATGAATAGAAGTTTCAGAACAGAAGTTCTTAAACTCAGCACTATTGGTCTTTTGAACCAGATCATTCTCTGCTAGAGGGCCGTCCTGTGCACTGTAGGGTGTTTAGCAGCATCCGTGGCCTCTACCCACTAGAGGCCAGTAGCACCCCCTTTCCAGCTGTGACAACCAAATACCTCCCCAGACATGGCCGAATGTCTCCTATAAGGCAAAATTGCCATCAGCTTAGAACCACTGTCCCAGAGTAACAGCTTTGCACAGACCTGGTGAGAGGCGCACTTACGTGGAGGTCAGGACAATAAAGGGGCCCAGGAGGGAGGTCTCCTGGGGGGGTGGGTAGAGAGAGAGAATATTTGTTCTGATATTGAGAAAGAAGCAAAGATAGGTGGATGGCAGATCTGACAGCATTTGGGAACATAAGGACCCAAATGGATATGAACAGCCATGGATGTGAAACATAGGAGGCACTTAACTCCAGGAAAAGAAGAAAAAGTTATACAAGGAAGGACATAAACCCCTAATCCTCTGGCCCTGCAGTGAATGGTTATGATAATACAATTGTTGGTAACCATTGGTTGGATGGAACACAAAGGGCTCTGTCCTAACAGGAGGTCAAGACATAATATCTGAAATGGCTCAGTCACAAAATAGAGGTCCTCACAGATTTTATAGAAATATGGGAGGAACTATCCACAGAAACAACTAAAAGAGCTAAAACCCGCCTCCTCTGGGGAGTGGGCCGGGGTGGGAAAGGCTGGGCCAGGACCTGCTATTTTTGCTATCAGATTATCAGTACTGTTTGATTTTTAAACCCATATGCATCGATTCAATAAGATATTATTTTAAGTAAAGGTTTAAAAAGTGAAGTGCATTAAATATCGTGCTAAAGAAAAATTCCCACAGCATCTTAAGTGGGGTAAAAGCTTGCGAAACATGGTGTATAAATGTTCTAGGTCTCCAGTGGGCCATGCGCCCCTAGGTGCTCATTATACTGCCAGACTTTCCAACACGTATTTGCTCTAAATATTTACTATTAATAAATATTAAAGTATAATAAGGAATAATTATCCAAAATTACGTAAAAGACGCAAAATTGATCACCTGCATTTTAGATGTGACTGTGGGGAGACAGAGTGTGGAAAAACAGGCTGTAGAGTCCCAAGTCCCAGCATATCTGTTAGTGGTGGGACTATATGTAGGAGACTTAGATTTCTTTGTACTTTTATTTTCTTCTTTAATTCTCTGTCTTCTAAAATGGCCATCTATTACGTGAGGAATACCTGTAATACAAACAAAATGTCTTCCCTATCTAGGTTGCTCTTTGCAGCGTATACCCCTCTGGGAGTAGGGACAGTGTGCCCCTTCTGGGGGCTCCACCCTTGGCGAGGTTGAGACTGACTCACGTGGAGCCCGACCTTGTTCTTCACTGGGAGGAGGCAGCCCTCCTGGGGCCTGGGTTGGGATGTCACGTCCTTGCGCTCTGCCCCACTTCTAGTCGGAGCCAGCGGGTCCCACGCAGCTGCTGAGGCCTGCGTTTCTCTTCAGATCTCTGGAGCACGTTCATTAGCGAGGATTTATTGCTCCAATAATACCACTTATCTTGGGAGTCAGGGGATCTCGCCACGTTGGCTAGTGGCTAGTTTTGTGAAATAGCTCGCTGAGAGCTCAGCTGGTTTTGGCCTTGTTTACCCATCTTGTTTGTGGTGGTGGTGGTAAGAGGAGTGAGTTATACTGAGGCCCCCAGAGGATGGGGGAACCCCAGGAGTCCCCTGAAGTCGATTAGAGTGGACCTGCCCATTTTGCCTTTGTGTATCCTACCAGGATAGGTGTCTCTCAAAACTAGCTCAAATATTCATTGAATGAACGAACACGCCCCAGTGACCCAAGTCTTAGGCCATTGATTCCAGGCCCAAGGGCTCTGAGCTTCGGGTTTCGGGCTGAGGTGGCCATTCCTCTTGGCAGGCACCGGAATCGGGGCAAACTGAGTGACCTGGTAGCTGAGCACCTGGACCACCTGCACTATCTCAATGACATCTTGATCATCAACTGTGAGTTCCTCAACGACGTGCTCACGGACCACCTGCTCAACAGACTCTTCCTGCCCCTCTACGTGTACTCACTGGAGAACCAGGACAAGGTGGGGCTTGGGGCCTGGTCCCGTTGTTCCTGCGGGCTGAAGGTCACCTTCAGAAGGGGGATGAACCATCACCTTGCATAGGGCTGAGCTTTGCAAGGGACCTAGGCTTTGAGGACCAAGGGCTTCACGTCCTTTCCTCTTATTTCCTGAGGGAGGGAAAGGGGGTTGGGAGAGAGAGAGGAAGTGTGCGTGTGTGTGTGTGTGTGTGTGTGTGTGTGTGTGTGTGTGTGTAGGCTGTAAAACCTGTAAAAGTGAATGAGAAAAGAATACTGACATCAGAATGAAACAGGAAACCTCTATGAATTTAGGCTTTTGGCTTCTCTGCATCCTTCTCTTGAGGTGTCCTCATCCCTGGTAACTTTTTCTGGTACTTGCCAGAGCTAATTGATTTGGAGAAGATCCAGGCAACCACAACACTTGCACAGAATGGATGGGAAGGACTGAGCACACTTAGGAAAAGCTCCCAGGACAGTTACTGTCCCCAGCTAGCAGGCTCCGCCTCCCTCGTGGGGAGAGGGCCTGTTCAAGTGCACATCCTCGGGTGTCATCCTCCTCTCTTCCTCAGAGATGCTGGTCCAGTGTGTCTGGGGTGGACCAGAGGTCTGCATATTAATCTGCGCCCCAGGGGATTCTGAGCTGCTGGTTCACTGCTTCCCCCATGAGAAACGCTGCTTCAGGGAGAGGAAGCCTTCTGCCCCTCCCTCCCAGAGTTAAGGGTCTGAGGCCTCCACAGGAGGTGGGACAGAGCCAGCTGGTTAATCTGCAGGAGCTTCTGCCTCTGCAGACAGTGTCCCAAAGGATGTAGCTTTCTTTTTGGAGATGGGAGATGGAGAGTCTTGCTAAAAAAAGAGTCAATGAACGAAAATTGCAACCCTAAGTAGATCTAGCAGAGGAAGCTCTGAGAAGTAGACAGAAAGCATGGGAAATGGGGTTTTCAGATCTAGGTTCAAATTCTGCCTCTTCTCTTTCCTCGCTTTGCAACGTTGGACGAGGCAGTTAACCTCTCTGAGCAAAAGGAAGGTCCTGAAGCTCTCACAGGGTTGGCGTGAGCCGACGCTCAGTACAAATGAGGGGCTTTTCCGAGGCTGCAGCGTCCCAGTCTCTCCCTGCCCCGTTTTGAAAGCTCTTTCTGAAAACAGGCCTCCGGGGGGGCTCTCTGGCCAGGCCAGGCTCTCAGTGCCCCAGCTGGGGGAAATGAACATTCCTGGTAATTTAAGGAGCCAGTTCTTCTCCTGGTTCCAGCCTCTAATCCGTGACTAATGGTGAAGGAGTTCTCAGGTGGAAAAATCACGGTCTTGCAAATGGGCATTGAGTGGGGTTAGGCTGCGAATTTCTTTGCAGAGTAGACTTGTGACTAGCGCCAGGCCACAGCAGCTCAGGGTCCTGGAGGAAGGCAGGGGGCAGGGTGCCTATCCTCCAGACATGGCTTTTGGCTGTATGTCTTTTGTGCTGCTCACTTATGTGACGTGGACTTCTCTCTCTCTCTTTTCCCTCAACCTTCTTCACTAGGGAGGAGAACGGCCGAAAATCAGCCTGCCGGTTTCACTCTATCTCCTGTCGCAGGTATGTTTGATCGTTGGCCCCGGTCCCCGCCACTGTCAGGGGCCTTGGAACACTGCTGCCCTTCAGAAATTTCTTAGGTCACATTGCCCTGTCTTCTCGCTCAGTGTCGCCCATCTCTAAATAAAATAACGATAAAAGGAAAGACACCGAGAGGAGGTGCTAGTATCTTCTTTGTGGCAGTGGGTGGAAATTTAACAAGAAATGAAAAATAAATCTAACCTGGCGCTTAGGTAGTTGAGTTTTACCATGGGAACTGAGGTTTCCAAAAACAGCCAAGAAGTGTTCTGAATACCCTGAAAATGTGGCCTGCCTGGGTCTTATTTGTGGCATTTTGAAATAAGCTCCAAACTGCAGGACCCAGTGTGTGCACACACACAGCAACCCTGGCTTAACAAACTCCCAGTAACCAGGCTGTTTTTAAAGGCTTTTCTCATAGCGCTAGTTCCCAGATTACCTTCTGGAAGGTATCTTGTAGCAGCCTCAGTTCCCAGATTTGTGTCTTGAGCCAATTTGTCTGCCTCCCCCCTCAAACAAGTGTGTTTCCTTCTCGTAATTATGTAATATTTACAAGAAGGGAAAAACTCCATGGTGACCCAGTTACATAACTTTAAAAATATTTTTATTACAAGCAGTCCAGACTTCCAGGCCATCTCATTAGACTGTCAAGTAGTCAAACGTTTGACCAGAGCTCTGTTCTCACTTCTGCAATGGCACAGGTATTTGTTTGCTTTGCTGAGAGAATGTCCTTCTAACTTGGTCCCTGGGCCATTTTGAGTTTGAGGTGGGGCTGTCCCCCGTTGGCCTGAGGAGAGAGGGGCAGACCCGGCCTCCTCCCAGCAGCTCTCCAATCAGGGCCTGCGGTGGCCCGCTCACTCCTCACTCCCAGAGTCTTGCTCTGGGGGCTGTGTGTGCTTGGAGCTCTTCACTGGTGCTGACTCCCTCTGAATGCCCCTCTGTGCAACGGAGCTCAGTGCAAACCCCAGCCTCTCCTGGCAGCTTTTTCTGCCACCTCATTACAAATCCGCCAGCATCTCCCGCTTGGGATTCTGGGAGTCTGGCAGGACCCTAGTGGGCCAGATGCTCAACCACAGGAATCTCATGGAACGCACCCTCCGGACCCTTGGGCTGTTGGAGTATTGCACGGGCAGGGTCTCCTCCGAGGAGCTAGGGGGCAAGCCATACTTTTTACTCTGAGAACCCCTTTTCTCCTGTTTCTTAGTGAAGGACTAGCAGCCGCTCAGGCATCTAATTACGTTTTAGTATCTCACGAAAAGCATAGCTTGTAATTGGTGTTCCTCAACTTGAATAACGGGGCCTTTCCTCCCCTAAAAGTATTTTCATTTAGCTTTAGTATAATGTTGCCAAAGTGCGTGAAAACCTTGAAGCAGGTATATATCCTGTGTCCTGAAGCCCTACATCACAGCATCCCTACAGTTATTTTACAAGCCCAGCCACAAAACCAAGACAATTCACAGTAACATTAGTTCAGTGTGACAGGAGTCTGTCCTGCTGAAACTAAACTGTCACTTGTAATGAGAGTGTGGTGCAGACAGGCGAGCCTGTGCACGCTTCCTCGTCCCGAGCAGCGACTGGCTATCCCCTCACTTTTCTCCATCCGGAGCCCAGGAAGCAATGAGCATTGTGAGCGTCCACAGGCGGGAATCGGCTGGCCTTTGTCCGGTGGGCCTTAATAGGTGCTCACTGAATGTTTGTGGGCTGACTAAAAGAAGGAATAAATGACCACTAAGGTCACCTTCAAACACAGCACACAGTAGGTGTTTGTGGAATGAATGAACTCGGTGACTGAGGTTTGTGGTTAAGTTGTGTGTGTGGCAGTAATCTGGCCATTTGACTATTCTGCCTCTCCCTTTCATTTGAACTGTATTTTCTTGGACAATATATTCACCCTTTTTAAACAATATAAAATAACGTGTAGGGAAAGGTCCCCTTGACCCCTGTCACCCCAGGCACCCAGTCTCACTCCCCAGAGGCAGCCAGTGTTTGTTTCTGCATTTACGTGTTGGGTTTTTTTGGGTTTTTTTTTTACAATATTTATTGAAAAAAATTGTTTTAAAGTTATTAAAAAGTTCAAGTAGGTGAAAACCAAGCTTTCTTTTTACTTTTGTTCAACCCCTCTGATTTCTATTCCTGGTGACAACTGTAGTTACAGGGTTTTCCTCTGTCCTTCCAGAAATGTCCTTTGCCAGCGGTTCTCAACTGGGGGTGATTTTGCACCTCGTTTTCTCCCAAGAGACAGTTGGCAATGTCTGGAGACATTTTTGGTTGTCATAACTGGGGTGTGGGGTGTGGCACTGGCATGTGGTGGGTAGGGAGACCAGAAATGCCACCAAATAGCCCACAATGCACAGGACAGCCCCCACAACAGTGCCAAGGAGGAGAAACCCTGTTCCATGCACATATAAACAAATACGGATGTGTGTACACGCCCTTTCTATACAGAAATAGTAGATAACCCCATGTTGTGCTATACTGGTTTCACCTTTACATTTTCAACCCAAGTTGCAGGTGTGTCTGAGCCAGCTTTGTGAGGCAGTTTTGCATCCTCCGATTCCTCAAGCCATTCCTCTGCACGTTGGGCAACAGGGTGGGGTGGCGGGGCCGTCCCAGATGGCCCTGTGCCTTCTGATTTTGCATCCTGGCGTGACTAGGTCTGTCTCTGGCTCGTGTGGCTTTTCTTCCGCACAACCTCCACGCCTATTCACGCTGCCACGGAATCCTGGTGTGCCGAAGCCCGCCGCCGGGGTCAGCATTCATGCCAGTGATGGGATCTCTGTGTGGCTGACCCTTTCCAAGTCCTTGATTGGAACAAGGCTCGCCGGCCCCTTCTTCCCGTATGACTAAAGTCTTGGGCCGGTGCCTTCTAGTCTTATCATAATCAAATTTGACACTGAAATGCCTGTGGAGAGGAGGGAGTGTGCTGGTTTGGCTGCTCCTTTCCCAAGTTGCTTCACTTCAGCCGGATTTGGCCTCACCCAGCCGTGAGGGACAGTCTCGCTTATAATGTACTTCCTTCCGCTGAAAAGCAGCCAGCCAAATAGGCAGCAGTCTGAATGAAGGAGGCGTTCACCCTAGAAGGAGAAACGTGTACCTGGTCTCTCCTATCCTTTGGCTTTTACATCACAGGGATTGCTGCGTAACACAGGACTTGTGTAGCCCAGCCTTGCTGCAGATCGTGGAAGGAAGAGGTTGAAAGACGGCATGCTTTAATGCAAATCCCATTTCTTCTTTCTCACCAGGTCTTCCTAATTATACATCATGCACCCCTGGTGAACTCGTTAGCTGAAGTCATTCTAAATGGCGATCTGTCAGAGATGTACGCTAAGACTGAACAGGATGTTCCGAGAACTTGTGTAAGTCATTAGCATTGGGACTGTTTCTTGGCCTTGTTAAGAAGCCATGGCTCATTTTGTTAACCTGTGCGTTTCTGTCAAACCAGAAACCAACATTCTGCTTACGGCAGTGATGATGCCTAAGCTGGTCCGGGATTCAGGGAACCTAACCAGAGTCTTGAAATGGGTACCCAGGAAAATCTGGGGGTCGGTACTAAGCGTGGATTCGTTGGTTGTATGTTATTGAACGTGGAATTGTACAACTCTGGGCCTCAGCGTATGTATCTGTGGGACACCGTTATGGGGACAGAACAGGATAATACCTTGTCTAAGGCACAAATAGCTACAGAGGCTGGACATGGAGTATCTGTGAGGACATAGGCCCCATGCGAGAGCAGTAGGGAAGGGTGGGGACGGTGGCGTGTTGGAGAGTGTACGTCCTTTCTGAGCAGCTGCTGTCCCACCCTCGCCTGCAGTTCTGCAGGAGTGTGGATGCAGTGTTGTCAGGCTTCCTCATGTTTCCAGAGGAGCTGAGCATCTGCATTTTGATGCAAAATCTCCCACGTTTTACATTATCACCCAGCTGTGGCCTCAACAGGGCGTGTTTGTGGTTTATGCATGTCTGTGCGTTTTGTGCTCTGCCAAAGGAAAACACCAGATGACCAGTGTCATGACTTCTCCTGAGGCTTTCCCAGCGTGGCCCCTGTGCATCTCGCCTGCCCTCCTTCCGGTCCTCGTGCTCACATGTACTGAGTTCCAGGCTGCCTTAATGCTGGTCCCGCCTGCTTTCCCCCCAGCGTGCCCTGTGTTTCTGCCTCTGTACCTGTGCCCTTACCAACCCCAAGGTCTGGAAGGCCCCTGTTCCTGCTTCTCTCTTATCATCGATCTTACCAGCTTTAAGCAGCGTATGGAGCGTCTGTCTGTCACTACATCTGCCGCAGCACATGAGCTCCGTGTTTTACCCCACGGCTGCTTCATGAGCCCTCTGGCTCTGCGGTCAGGTTCTTAGGCAGTAGGCACACAGGTAGGGCTGGCCTTGCCCTTGGGTCATCGGCTCTGTTGCCAGATCTGAGCGAATGGCTGGAGGGTCGCCTGGTAGCATGCAATGCCAATCTGCACGGTGTACCATTGCAGGAGTGCCTTGTCCTTCTGGTTTTTCTGGTGGACGATGGCTTGGCTAGGCCATTTTGCTCTTAAAGGGAGCATTCGAGCCTCTGAAAAGGTTCCCAGAAACTTTCTGTCTTTGTTGGTGGTGGCATTGGTTCAGCTGAATTGAATGGGGCCCTTTCATGGCCCCTGTCTGGCCCATCCCTGCTTTGATTCATTCAATAAGTGTTTCTTAAGCCCTTTCTTTGGACCTGGCATCGTGCTAGCTCTGGGGATATACAAAATCTTAAGTATTTTCTGTCGTATTGGAGCTTTACAGTCCAGGAGAGACAGGCTTTGATCAAATACACAAATGACTGCACTATCTCGAGGCTTACACATGCTCTAAGAGGCAGTAGTATTTGGTGAGAGGATTTCACTTAGGGGTGACAGGGGTGACGAGTGTTGCACAGGAGAGACTCCCCTAGTGGTCCATGTCATGACAACACATGGTCTAGAACAGGGGGCGGCAAACTTATGAGACAGACATACCCAAAGAGCCACATGTGGCTCGCGAGCCGCAGTTTACCAACCCCTGGTCTAGAAAATGTAGAGCGGACTTGGTTTATGGAGCCAGAGATATTTCTTTGCAACTTGCTTAAACTCGCTTTTGCAAGTAATAGAGAGCTGAGTCAGCAAAATCAGCAGGGCCTCCCAGCCAGAGCTGCCGAGGACCCGCCAGCCAGCGGTCACCTCGGGCAAGTTGCTTCACCCCATTTAGAAAACAGGGAGAGCAAGCCCTACTCCGGAGAGCTATTGGTGAGGATGGGAAGAAACTAGTCTTTCAGTGCCGTCAGTTTCACTGATAGGTGGACTATGAAACTAAAAACAACAAAGGAACAAGACAAACAAATGAAGAAACAAAAACTCATAGACACAGACAGTAGTTTAGTGGTTACCAGAGGGTTAGGAGAGAGGGGAGTGGTACAGGAGGGTAAACAGTATCAAATATATGGTGATGGAAGGAGAACTGACTCTGGTTGGTGAACACACAATGTGATATATAGATGATGTATTACAGAATTGTACACCTGAAACCTGTGTAATCTTACTAATCGTTGGCAGCCCAATAAACTTTAATTAAGAAAAAAAAAAGTGCCATCAAGTGCCTGACAGGTTGCTACCCGGCCTTCAGAGCTCTTTGCTTTCGTCTTCACAGTGTTTAAAAGAAAAAATGTATGCATTGCCAACTTCAAAATTTAGGAAGTTTCCCATAAAAACCCAGATTTCAGGACATTGAGCCGTCAGAAGACCTGGTCCCCACTTTGCACATGCTTCTGCAGGAAGCTCCTCAGAGGCTGCTGTTTGCCATTCGATTTGCCCGGTCCCCACCCAGCCTGCTGCTAATTCACACTACATTCCCATTAGTAATGAGTGGGAATAGATTCGACTTCCTTTTGTCTCATGATCCCCAAATAGCTGCTAAGGCTTCATCACAGAATGTCTCCCTAGAAGACACTCGCTGCTCGAGTTAGACGTGGTGTTCCAAGATGAACCCGGAGAGTGCTGGGGCACTGAGGTTTGCAGGGTTTTTTCATTGAAATTGATTGGCATGCAGCTGTAAGAAATAATGACACCCTTTCCCTACGTTCCCCCCAGTGGTAACATCTTGCAAAACTCTCATACAGTACCACAAGCAAGATACTGACACTGATGCGTGGGGTGTACTATTTGAGCAAAAGCAAGCTGCAGAAAGTTCCTGGCGACCTCTGAGCTTAGGATACCCACTTTAGCTGAACCCTCTAATCAGGGGGAGTGGTTAGATCTGCTCTTTCTCCCGATGGCCTCCTCTTGGGATGAAGATCGTGCCTCCAATGTGATAGACCCCCGACCGCTCATTGTGGTGGATGCCTGCCTGAACTGGAAATGAGGGTGGAAGGAATCACCAGCCCTAGTGAAAGTGTCGGCTTTGTACTTCCGGCTTTGGCCTTTCCCCGGGTGCGAACCCAGAGGGCGTTGTCTTCTGATGACTGCAGCCGAAATTTTGGAAGAGTGGAGGTGACTCTCATTTGTGACTTTTTTGACAATAGTCTTGGTACGATTTACCTTCCTTCCCTGTGAGCAAGAACAGTCTCCTATTGTTTCCTGCCTAACTCGGATGTGGTTTGGTCATACTTGTTTTAAGTTTCTTGGTCTTTTTTAACCTACTTTCTCCTTCCCGTAATTTGTAGATAAGTTACTGGTATTGCTTCATTTTTACCAGCAGACCTTTCACAAAACCAAACCAAAATTGAAGAGAGAGAAGCAGACGGGAGAGCAGAGTTATTTGAAAAGTCTGTAATTTAGGGTTAAATTTAAAATACATCAGCGTGGTTAAATAAATGTCTAATTGAAATTCGTCTGTGCATTAAAATCATATGGTTCCTGCGAAGGGATAATTCTTGCTATAATTTTAATGCACAGCAGATAGTGTTTCTTGGTGGGGGAAATAGAATAAGAGAACACTAATTCTGAAACTGCTAACATCTCATTATTTTTGCAAAATGAAATATATAGATTAGATCATGGGATATGCCTCAAGACCTGCAGGTACTTTTTTTTTCTTTAAAAAAAGTAGGGACTTTTTCATCCTGGGTGTCTGTGGATAGTTTCCTTAGTCCGTGCATTCATTCATCCGTTCCTCAACAGAGGCACGGCGGTGCTGGGGGAAGAGGAAAAGACGCGACCCCTGCCCTCAGGGGCTTCCATCCCCGCGGGGAAGTCTGTGCCATCTTGGGGCTTGCCAGAGATCCTCAGGGGGTGCTCACTACAGGAATGAGTGACTCGGGTGAACTGGCGGTGGGGTCACATGGGCCCATGTGATGTTCTTAAGGACTCTCAGAACAGAAATAGCCTCGGGGCCTGACCCTCACGGGCCACCTTCTCTCTTTGCTCAGAGGCTGGCTTGCTGGGGACGGAGTATGAGTGGCTTGCTGGTGGTGCTGTTCCACATTCCGCCATACGGGGCAGTCTGGTGGAGTGGACCCTGGAGCCAGACTGCCAGGCTCCTGGAGTCTTACTTAGGTGTGTCCCAGGGCAAGTTAGTTCGCCTCTCCCAGCCTGTTCCCTCACCTCTCCAATGAGAAGAACAAACATGGATTTTTGGAGAGGGTGAAATGCAGCACTAATTGCATATTCCCAAACCCAGCACACATCAAGGCCTAGGTGTTAGATGTTATCATTATCACAATCTTAGTTTCAGAGGCTGCAGAACAACCCTGTGTCCCCTTTGGGACCTCCTTTCTTGGTGTGATTAACATAGAGGCACCCACAGTGCGTCTCTTAGGGAGGCGCTGTATGACAAAGGCACGGAGGGCCAAGTGGTGGCTACGGTGACGACACGATGGCAGCACCAACAGTAAGCGTGGCCATGTAGTGACAGTGGGATGAGCCCCCTGTGTGCGTTCTAGCCCCCCGGCTGAGCCGGCCCCAGATACGATATCTGGAAAGTGCAGATGCTTGACCAGCTGATATGCGTTCACATGATTGGCTGACTGTGAATTCAGAATGGGGACTGAAAATTCGGGGGCAGAATACGCTTGTTTGTCCCCAGATGAGGGTGTCGACCATCTCTCTGTAGGCACCAGTTCAGCCAGTTGGGATGGTCTCCAAATGATTCTTGGGGGATCCAAAATGAACGCGCACCTATGTACGAAATCAGACACCAGTCCTGCGTGTGACGCCTGCTCCTCCGCGAGCTGCGCCCTCTGCTCGCAGAACGCTCCGCCAGGACATGGCCTGTGGAGCCGGCAGCTGAGAAAGTAGCAGCCTGGCCTCTCTGGTCTATTTGCAGAAGCAGAGTCATGGGCAGGGGGGCTCCGGTCGCCACTTCAGGGCTCTTTCCAAAGCAGGCTTGAGTCAGATGGCAGCTGAGCCTCTCGCATGTTGAATGCAGC